TTTCTTTAAATAGATTCAAAGATTTTACCGTAATACGCTTTTTGAATGGTTTTCAGTTAAAAACTGTTGTATTACAATAATATTCTATCCTAATTGACTTGAATAAATACTCACGATACCACTATTTCTGAATATTTTCATTAAAATCCATCAAAATCATTTTCCTTATATCTGCAGCACCAAGTGGCTCCTCCCAGTCCTCTCCTTGAACAACATCGTCATATGGATCAACACCATCATCAGCCATAGGATCATCCAATATCTTCATCCTCGTCCGCTCTCATTAGCCTCATAATCCCACAACAGAAGTAGTCTTCTATTTCCATCAAACATTCGAAATCACATTCTTAAAAGATTCCCACCTAATTTCTGGTCTGATTGCATCCCAGGCCTCTACAATCTATTCACATAATGTTGCTAGTGATGGAGCTTGGATGTTGCCTCCTTTGTGTATGTCTTATACCTTCTGTCCAGTTGTTCCACTTCACTCTTACGCATCTTTAAATGGTTTGTTTATGGGAAACATCCAGTGGTTGGACAAGACTTGTTAATCCACCAGGAATACAGCTGTATCAGTGTTTTCGGCACCTAATCATGATAACACTGTCAACAGATGTGACTGAAACATATCCACCCAAAAAAGACTTTTTCTTTTGCTTGATCCCCTGGTCTAAGTTCCAGACTATTTTTAAGCCATATTTGTATGCATGACCACATCCATCCATCCTTTCGTGCACATGGATGATTAAAAAAAATATTGTCTGACTTGCAACACTGTTAGTAAGGTCAGGTGGATTCTACTTGACACCTGCTGGAAGACCGATAATCAAATTTATAACAGTGTCTAACCTCCAATTACTGTAGTTTTATCTGATGTAGGCAATATGAAGTAAAAAATACCAGTTAAGTGAAAATTGGAAGAAGATAAACAAGAAAGATGTCGTTGGGCGCTATTTTTGGTAGGGCTGAGGGAAAAGTACCAGCTGTTTGGTCCTTTTTTGGCCCGGGAGAGTCCATAAATAACCGTGAAATACTAGTATATGTTTGAGTGTCTTCTGTATTTTAAAAATGAATGCCCCATAGAGATTAAAGAAATGCCGTAACATTGTATTATACTTTAAACTTGTCATATTTCTGGAAAATAAAAGCAAAATAAGAATATGCGGTAAACACAATTTCAACGTGTGCTAAAATTAAAAGCTGGCAAGAAGGGCGATAAACAAAGCCCCTCCGTGACCAGGGCTCTGCCATATCAGCTAAACCCAGTACCGCGTGTTTTTAAATCGTTTTCAGTTAAAAACTGTTACATCCCAAGTGAATTAGGATAGAAATATTGTTGTAATACAACAGTTTTTAACTGAAAACCATTCAGCAATCTGGTAACATCTTTCATCTTTTCCATGAAAAGCGAAAGTAATTGTTTTTGTCTTGATTTTATCCCTTCCCGCACTATAATCACGTCACGTCATTTCAGCAAAATATTACATTTCTATATTCTCCAGAAAGAAATAAATAGTAGTTTGCGAAACATGATGTACAGTGGGAATTTATGCTATGAAACCCGGATCCTACTACGAATATTCCTATATGACGGTTTTTACCTATAAAATTGAGAATGCTATAACGAGGCAAACTCCTACAACGAACATTATTTAAAAAAAAAATAATTTTTTTTTTTTTTACTAATTTATTGTTTTTTTATTACAAGCAATAATGATACTGTTTCCAGGGTTTAGATGCATGTTGTGCCGTTTTTTACAATTTTACAATTTTTATGTTATATTTTTTTCAGTGTTAAGTAGTTTGTATTTGGGGGCCTGGAACAGATTAATCCTATAACGAGCGAATGCTATGCTTGAACAAGGTTCTAAGACAATTAGATTCGTTATAGCATGCCTGTATTTCAGTATAAATTAAGATAAACGCTACATGATAAAACAAAAAGACTTTACCAAACCTTCCGATGTTCAAGATATATTTACTCGTTTTTTAATAGTTTTTTGGTTAAAAATACTGTTATATTAGTGATATTCTATTTATACTGTGGATTTAATATAATGCATTCCGCAAAATGTAATATTTTTTTTGCTGAAATAGCGTAAATATTACAGTGGAAAGTAGGATAAGAGTGTAGCGAAAACAATGACTTTTTGCTTTCTTTAGATTTCAAAATATGTTACGTAATAAGCTTTTCGAATGGTTTTGGTTAAAAACTGTTGTATTACCAATAATATTCCATCCTAATTGACGAATAAATGCTTGAATTAAGGAAATATGCAATATTTTTGTTGAAACTACCAGCGTTTCAGTGTAAAGTGTCGTAATAATAAATGATAGAAACAAGTTTATAGGATGTAGTGTTTTTATGAAGGTTTTGTTGTTCCTTTGCCCTCAAAAACTTGGGTGGAAGCCTATAAGCGAGGAATATTCATAAATTAACGATTTCTTGGTCAAAAAATAGGAATTAAACCTATATCTGAAGGGGGTTGACAAAACGGTATATCACAGTAAATTATTTCTGCAATTCTTCACAAACAAAACATAAATCAATTGAACATGTGATGTCGAATGTGAACTGTAAACACTGTGTGTGATGTAAAGAGAGCGCGGGTGTAAAATGCTACATAATTTGATTTTCTCTTATTTAAAATTTTGCAATTTATTATACTGTACAGGTATACTGTATACATAAATATTACATACATTATTTCTGCAATTGTTCACAAACAAAACACATAACTCAATTGAACATGTGATATCGAACGTGAACTGTAAGCGCTGCATAACCCCGCGCCAAGCCACAACAACCGTTCGAGTGGAATCGCGTTAGAGGAAACGCATTCGCGTTTTGCAAATATTGTTCCTCTATTCATCAATCGCGTTAGAGCCAATTCGCGAGTCAAAACACGCCATTATAGCAGAACTCACTGTAGTGAACAATATCTTTCAAATCTGAAGTAGACATATGGTCATCACTTTCCCTTTCCTCCTCACCACTGTCAGCCTCTAACATCTCATTCAGTTGCTGCAAGTCATCAGGAGTTAGTTCCTGCTCATGAGACATCACAAGCTCTTCCACATCAACCTCCTCCACTTCGAGGCCCAATGACTGACCAATGGACACAATCTCCTCGTCCAACTCTGTCATTCCTCAAAATACTGCTGATTGGCCACAGTGCTTTCCATGCAGAATTGAGGGATCTAATGGAGACTTCTCGCCATGAGGACACAATCAATTTTACAGCCCAGGATGTTAAATTGTGTCTCCACAGAACTGTGCCAGTGTTAGTTCAGGATCAGTGGAAGTTGCCTGATGACACCTGAACATTTTCTTCCTGTACAGCTTCTTGAAGTTGCTGATCACATTCTGGTCCATTGACTGTATAATTGATGTAGTGTTGGGAGGCAAAAACAACACTTTGACAAAGTCAAATTGAGCCTCCAAAGTGCTGGCAAGGTCAGGGTCATGACCAGGGGCATTATCCATGAGGAGAAGAGCCTTTAAAGGAGGTTTATTGGTGGTTAGGTAACTCTTCACAGAAGGCAAAACACCTCAACAGCCCATTCATTAAAGAGCTGTCTTGTTACCCATGCCTTACGGTTGGACTTCCAATAAACTCCAAGTTGTCCTCTTACCACCTTTTGTTGCTTGAACACCCTGGGGTTCTCAGAGTGGTATACAAGCATAGGCTTCAGTCGGAAATCCCCTGAAACACTGGCACCAAGCAATAGAGTGAGACGGTCCTTCATGGGTTTATGCCCAGGTAAAGAGGCTTCATCTCTGGTGATGAATGTCCTTTAGGTCATTTTCTTCCAGAACAGCCCAGTTTCGTCCACATTGAACACTTGCTGTTGAAGATAATTTTCTTCATCCACCAGTTCCTTGAACTCCACTTCAAATCTTGCTGCTCCTTCTTTATCTGCACTGGCAGCTTCACCTATGTTTAACAACACTATAAATGTCACTTCTTTTCTTAAATTTTTCAAACCAGCCCTTGCTTGCCCAAAATCTTGAACTCTGTGCCAGAAGAACCAGGTTGATCTTCCTTTAAATGTTCGTAAATCTCCCTTGCTCTTTCACAAATAAATTCTGTAGAAACTGAATCACCTTTCATTTGTTTTCCCTGATCCAAATGAGAAGTAACCTCTCTGTTTCTGCTAGTTTCCTGTACTTCAATTATGTTCAATAATTGTTAAAATGACTAAAAATATTTATATAAAACTTTTAAAATTATTGAATAGTACAACCTTCTTGATATTTACTCAAATGGTAACGAATTTAAGCCCTAGAACCGATTATTGTACTGTATTGGCGGACTAATACTACAGCTGGTGAGCAGGCGAAAACGTTTGGGAAAATTGTAAGGAATTTTAACCAAATTTTTTTCGTGAAGTGAAGATTCTTATGGAAGGTAATTGTAACCGAAATTTCGTTAACCGAGGCATTCGTTAACCGAGCGACCACCGTACAGTTCTGCAAACATTTACTATTTATGCTGCAATGTAATGGGCTGCAAAGTTTACATTATTATTATTATTATAACAAATATTTGCAAGCTCAAGCGCGCCCCTGGACCAGGGCCCCGGACCGGGCTCCTCGGGCACCGTTTTTAATGCGGCCCTGACTAAGTCATCAGTATACAACTCCCAGAGCAGACCAGTTCACAAGTGAAGAATATTGGGAGAGGCTGTGAGACATGACCTTAGAGTTAAGAACCTGATGAAATAGACTGCAAGAGTCAATGTGGTATGGAGTGCTGCCATCAGGTAATGGCGGCTGAGTGGAAGCCAGGAAAACGACGGAAGTGAGGAAGATAATGGTGCCTGTAGTGTGTGAGCATGACCTGGGGTAGTGGCTTATATGTAAAGTATGAGGAAGTTTCTGTTTGATGCAGTACAGCTGTACAATGTTTGGGGCTGTCTTTCACCCAAGTATTGACTGTGGCATTCATTATTTTCTGTGTGTATACAAATTAATGATGATTAATGGTTTTGGGCAGGTTTATTGGAAGGTGAGAAGCGGCTGCTGGAGGAAGGTTACTTGATGGGCACACTGTGTTGCTTGTGCTGCACCTCAACCCTGGCTGCCGGCATTAACTTACCTGCCCGGAGAGTAAGTAACTATTCCTTGTGGCTTGAAGACTCTAGTATAAGATAATGGTTATAATACAGTATTATTAAACAACATCTTCATAGAAGAAGTCAAATGGTGTTTCAACCGAGTTTTAAACTAAATGAGTCTGGGGACACCGCAGTACAGTGCTTAGCGAGGTGGTGTGGCGGTAAATTAACAAATTCCAATAAAATTAATTTATAATTTGGAATTAGTTAATTTTACCGCTACCTGTTAACGAACTGCGGTGTCCTCAGACTCACATTAGCTTCAATTCCCTCAAGGGAAGATGTTGTTTAATAATAAGAACAATAATCTCTTTATCATGTTTGTATTGTCAATCATGTAACAGTTATGCAGTACAGTACAGTATATATGTAATGAAGAGTTATTTTTATGTTTTACACCATTATTTTGTTACATGTAACTTTTGTATTATTAAATCTCCTTACAACAACCTCACTCTCTGACATATAACACCACCCAACAGTGTAACACCACCCAACAGTAACACCACCCAACAGTGTAACACCACCCAACAGTAACACCACCCAACAGTGTAACACCACCCAACAGTAACACCCCAACAGTGTAGTAACACCCCAACAGTGTAACACCACACAATAGTAACACCACCCAACAGTGTAACACCACTCATCAGTGTAACACCACCCAACAGTGTAACACCACATTGTAACACCACCCAACAGTAACACCACCCAACAGTAACACCACCCAACAGTGTAACACCACCCAACAGTAACACCACCCAACAGTGTAACACCGCAACAGTGTAACACCACCCAACAGTAACACCCCAACAGTGTAACACCACCCAGCAGTAACACCACCCAACAGTAACACCGCAACAGTGTAACACCGCAGCAATACCACCCAACAGTGTAACACCACCCAATAGTAACACCACCCAACAGTGTACCACCCAGCAGTGTAAACACCACCCAACAGTGTAACACCCCAACAGTGTAACACCACCCAGCAGTATAACACCACCCAGCAGTGTAACACCACCCAGCAGTATAACACCACCCAGCAGTGTAACACCACCCAGCAGTATAACACCACCCAGCAGTGTAACACCGCAGCAGCATAACACCCCAGCAGTGTAACACCACCCAGCAGTATAACACCCCAACAGTGTAACACCACCCAACAGTGTAACACCACCCAACAGTGTAACACCACAACAGTGTAACACCACCCAACAGTTTACCGCAACAGTATAACACCACCCAACAGTGTAACACCCCAACAGTGCAACACCCCAACAGTATAACACCCCAACAGTATAACACCCCAACAGTATAACACCACAGCAGTGTAACACCCCAACAGTGTAACACCACCCAACAGCGTAACACCCCAACAGCGTAACACCACCCAACAGCGTAACACCGCAACAGTGTAACACCACCCAGCAGTGTAACACCACCCAGCAGTGTAACACCACCCAGCAGTGTAACACCCAACAGTGTAACACCACCCAGCAGTACCACCCAGCATTAACACCCAGCAGCATAACACCACCCAGCAGTGTAACACCACAGCAGCATAACACCACCCAGCAGCAGCAACACCCAGCAGTGTAACACCACCCAGCAGTGTAACACCACCAGCAGTGTAACACCACCCAGCAGTGTAACACCCCAGCAGTTAACACCACCCAACAGTATAACACCACCCAACAGTGTAACACCACCCAGCAATATAACACCACCAGCAGCATAACACCACCCAGCAGCATAACACCACCCAGCAGTGTAACACCACCCAGCAGTATAACACCACCCAGCAGTATAACACCACCCAGCAGGATAACATCACCCAGCAGGATATCACCCAGCAGTGTAACACCACCCAGCAGTGTAACACCACCCAGCAGTATAACACCACCCAGCAGTATAACACCACCCAGCAGCATAACACCCCAGCAGTGTAACACCACCCAGCAGTATAACACCACCCAGCAGTATAACACCCCAGCAGGATAACACCACCCAACAGTGTAACACCCCAGCAGCATAACACCACCGCAATATAACACCCCAGCAGTATAACACCACCCAGCAGTGTAACACCACCCAGCAATATAACACCACCCAGCAGCTAACACCACCAGCAGTGTAACACCACCCAGCAGTATAACACCACCCAGCAGTGTAACACCACCCAGCATTGTAACACCAGCATAACACCACCAGCAGTGTAACACCACCCAGCAGTATAACACCACCCAGCAGGATAACACCACCCAGCAGCGACACCACCCAGCAGTTAACACCCAGCAGTATAACACCACCAGCAGTATAACACCACCCAGCAGTGTAACACCACCCAGCAGTATAACACCACCCAACAGTTAACACCGCAGTATACCACCCAGCAGTATAACACCACCCAGCAGTATAACACCACCCAGCAGTATAACACCACCCAGCAGTATAACACCACAGCAGTATAACACCCCAGCAGTATAACACCCCAGCAGTGTAACACCACCCAGCAGTGTAACACCCCAGCAGTATAACACCCAACAGTGTAACACCACCCAGGTATAACACCACCCAGCAGTGTAACACCACCCAGCAGCATAACACCACCAGCAGTATAACACCACCCAGCAGTATACACCACCCAGCAGTATAACACCACCCAGCAGTATAACACCACCCAGCAGTATAACACCACCCAGCAGTATAACACCACCCAGCAGTATACACCACCCAGCAGTGTACCACCCAGCTGTAACACCCCAACAGTGTAACACCACCCAGCAATAACACCACCCAACAGTGTAACACCACCCAGCAGCATAACACCACCCAGCAGTGTAACACCCCAGCAGTATAACACCACCCAGCAGTATAACACCACCCAGCAGCATAACCACCCAACAGTGTAACACCACCCAGCAGTATATACCACCCAGCAGTATAACACCACCCAGCAGTGTAACACCACCCAGCAGTATAACACCACCCAGCAGTGTACACCACCGAGCAGTATACACCACCCAGCAGTATAACACCACCCAGCAGTATAACACCACCAGCAGCATAACACCACCCAGCAGCATAACACCACCCAGCAGCATAACACCACCCAGCAGTATAACACCCCAGCAGTATAACACCCCAGCAGTGTAACACCACCAGCAATCTAACACCACCCAGCAGTATAACACCACCCAGCAGTATAACACCACCCAGCAGCATAACACCACCCAACAGTGTAACACCACCCAGCAGTGTAACACCACCCAGCAGTATAACATCACCCAGCAGCGTAACACCACCCAACAGCGTAACACCACCCAGCAGTGTAACACCACCCAGCAGTATAACACCACCCAGCAGTATAACACCACCCAGCAGCATAACACCACCCAACAGTGTAACACCACCAGCAGTATAACACCACCCAGCAGCTAACACCACCCAGCAGTGTAACACCCCAGCAGTGTAACACCCCAGCAGTATAACACCACCCAGCAGCATAACACCGCAACAGTGTAACACCACCCAGCAGTATAACACCACCCAGCAGTATAACACCACCCAGCAGTATAACACCACAGCAGTATAACACCCCCAGCAGTATAACACCACCCAGCAGTATAACACCACCCAGCAGTATAACACCACCCAGCAGTATAACACCCCAACAGCATAACACCCAACAGTGTAACACCACCCAGCAGTGTAACACCCCAGCAGTATAACACCACCCAGCAGCGTAACACCACCCAACAGTTAACACCACCCAGCAGTGTAACACCACCCACAGCAGTATAACACCACCCAGCAGTATAACACACCCAGCAGCATAACACCACCCAACAGTGTAACACCACCCAGCAGTATAACACCACCCAGCAGCATAACACCACCCAGCAGTGTAACACCACCCAGCAGTATAACACCACCCAGCAGCATAACACCACCCAACAGTGTAACACCACCCAGCAGTATAACACCACCCAGCAGGATAACATCACCCAACAGTGTAACACCACCCAGCAGCATAACACCCCAGCAGTATAACACCACCCAGCAGTGTAACACCACCCAACAGTATAACACCACCCAACAGTGTAACACCACCCAACAGTATAACACCCCAGCAGTATAACACCACCCAGCAGTGTAACACCACCCAACAGTGTAACACCACCCAGCAGTGTAACACCACCCAGCAGTGTAACACCCCAACAGTATAACACCACCCAGCAGTATAACACCACAGCAGTGTAACACCACCCAGCAGTATAACACCCCAGCAGTATAACACCACCCAGCAGTGTAACACCCCAGCAGTGTAACACACCCAGCAGGATAACATCCAACCGTGTAACACCACCAGCAGCATAACACCACCCAGCAGCATAACACCACCCAGCAGTATAACACCACCCAGCAGTGTAACACCACCCAGCAGTGTAACACCACCAGCAGTATAACACCACCCAGCAGTATAACACCACCCAACAGTGTAACACCACCCAGCAGTATAACACCAACAGGCAGTACTATAGAGAACTCACC